AATTCTTTCCGAAATTCCGTGAATTTATTTTATTCTTATTATTTTTCGCTTCGCCTTGACTCAGCCTCTCTCGTCAATATTTTCCCTCAAATCTCTCCAACAATTTCCAATTGTCAACATTTTGGTTCCCTGTCAAGCTGGACTCATATCTTCTCGTCGATCTTCTCCGTCCCTCATAATTACGCGTTCGATACCATTCCGACATTGTCCGCAACCAATAACCCGATATACTCTACTTTATCTTTGGGGTCGGCGTTCCAACCTAAAAATGAGCTCGCCATCAGTACAAGTCCAACCACAGCCCTCCAGCGGCGCAAAAGGCGTCTCCCACACGACAAAGGAATCGGGACCGGCTGCCATGAATTTCGACATTGTCCGCTGTTCCCGATGCCAGCGCTCTATGAGCCTCGAAAATGACTCGTCGCCAGGCGTCGTACGTTTCGGCATGAATTCATACTACTGTAGCCGCTGTGCATCTATGGTCGGCTTTATCCGCTGAGAGCAATCGCCCCGTGACAACCCACGCAACGAAACATAGGAAGAGAAACGGCATCATTACGAACAGAATTTTTCGTCGTGGCTTCTAGCTCTCCTGTTATCTCAGTATGAGAGAATGGGCAGGATTGACGTGTTGGTTCTCTGGTGTTTTTGTTGTTCTCTACAGCCATTCGCTCATACGATAATTCCGGGAAGTTTTCTGTGCTGGCACAGGTTGATTTTCTACATGTCGGGTAAGGAGAAGGACTCAAGCAACAATCCGGTTCGGACATCGGACGAGTTTCATCGGTGTTACTCTCTCGTCCCCGATCGAGGAAAGGATTATGAAAAAATCACCGCGCGCTACAAGGACGATATGATGTGGATTGGACGGGTGAACCGAGGATTTCCCCCACCGGGACTCATGCAACCATAATTGACGGACTCGGGGTTACAGCATTCCCAAAAGTCGAGTCCTTTTTGATCACCCACCATTATCCGTCATACCGCCCTGCGCTTAAATCCGATGGAGCGACAACTGCTCAATTATTCGGTAGAAATTTACGATACCCCCAAATTTCACTTTCACTCTGTATTTGTGTATTTCATAGGGAGCTAAGGATATTTCTTTTTTTTTATATATACAATTTTCATCTTGTTTATCTATTTGTTTTTTTGAGCAGAGCGTGTATGATTTCCGAAATCGAATGATTCTCTTTTTTCCCTTTCAACCAATTTTCCTTTATTCTTCTCTTTTCCGCTCAATACCCACACAATGTTTCAACATTAGCGTCTAAAGAATACTTGGCTTTGTTACATTAGATCTCAGTAAGCGCTGCTTACAATGAAACTCAATTGATCTGCAGTGCATTCTTGCTTCAGTACTTCATAGGAATAGGGGCGGTCGATAAACTTTTCAGTACATGAACTAGCATGCCAATGCGCCCTGCCTATCATAATTTAACCCAGGAGCCCCAGGATGATCTCCCATGCATCGATCACAAGCTCATGAGCAGGAACATCCAACAAAGCTGTGAATGGCGTCATTGGCCAGTTCGCGACAAGTCAGCTGTCAGTCGACCTACGTGTAAAGCATCTCCATAGCTCATGAAACTCCCTAGTATGCATGTCATAGTAAACCCCCCTCCCCCCAAATCAAATGCCAGGAACGCAGTTCAAATTACTTTGTAGATCAGACGCCCAGACCACCTTCCAACATGAACTACCTATCACACGCAGCTCATACACAGAAAAGCTCCCATCGCGCACCATGCAACAACATCGTTCCTGATTAAGTAATGTCCATTGCCTCCGGATCTACCTACACTAACCCCCTAGGAGAATGCACTGGGGCTTGCATTGGTCCGTAATGTAGTGCCCCTCAACAAGGGCGATCTACCTTAATTACCCCTCCCCCTTGCTTGTACAGGTTCTGTTCGGGGAGGAAACTCTGCACCGATTACGGAGTAGTGCTGTAAGTTAAGAATTACACCCCAATTGGTGACAGTGCTACTATACTACTTAGGTAGCTAGTCTTGTACCGTGTTCATGGAGCTTGTAATCGGACATTTAGTGTATGTATGTACTCTGTATATGTATGTATACTCCAATCTTATACCAGTTACAATACTAACCTTACCAAAAAGGCACATTGGGGCAATCGAAAATTTCTCAAAGAAAAAAAAAAAAAAATTTCCTTCCCTCATTCCCCCCTCGTACACTCCAAATTACTAAAAGATTACACAGAAACCATTTACACAGAACTAAGCCCTTAGGCAACCACGCGAGTGGCAAAAATAGAAGAAGCGAAGAAAAAAAAGAAAAAAAAAAAAAAAATCTCTACCCCTTTTAACGGATGCACCGTTCGTTTAAATGTGGAGGAGACTCCGCTGATCAAGTGGGTCAGTTCACCCGGGATTCAATCTCGGTTGGCATTATGAACGGCGTTCTCCGTTTCTGAGCCGTAAAGTTTTTGTGTTTCAGCTTTCTTGGGATCCACTGATTTGCTTTTGTCCGGTGGCGGGCTGAAGTTTCGTGAAGAATGCGGCTAGTGCGCTAACGAGCTTTTTCTCTCTCTTAGTCTTAGATACCTACAATTGAAAGAGAAGTGCACCTTCCTTTTTTGGTAAGTCGCGCTTTTTCACCCGGTGGAGTCATTTCATGGTATGTGGTGGTAGTACATGGCGATATAATGGGGATGATTGGCGTCAATCCTTTCCCGTGAAGTGTGTATGGGTGTTTTATATCCAGGTCCCAGGGATAGAGGTGCTGTGGTTCGCACTGTGTCGTTGAGGTAATGGTGAAATCATGGACATTGAAAATTGTCGAAGAGAATATATCTCAAAGATAAGATCATCACGAGTTCTCGAAACGAGGTGCATTTACACGTCGAGGTTTCCATGGTTTCCATTCTTCTCCGCAATTTGATTCCCGTGGATGTGATGGGATGCTTGCAGCTCTGTGGCAAACCAATAGCCATCCACGACCATTTGACTTCCATGACATTTGGGATATGCTCAGGGTTGGTTGGATGCATATGGACTCAGTCATATGATATGTAAGTAATGACATAGAAAGCACAGAAACATTCAAGAGGAAACCACTGATTAGTATAATCCTACCCCCTTGGCGTCTATCTCAGACCAGTCAGACATAAGAGTTAGCCTTTCGGAACTTTGATTCCCGCAAGGGTCCAATTTCTTGTGTGCTGTGAAACTCTAATTTCTAATCTGCTCTGGCTCCACGCTACATCCCTGTCATCAGTATGGCAAATCTGTTATGTACTGGTAATTATACGTTGCCAGAAGTACACATACATCGCTCACATCACGCAAAACCAGAGTCTAGCGCAATCACGGATGAGAATAGTTCTCTACATTCGAGGTTGAATAATCATCGCTAGTTGAAGATGCCGTGGTTGGATGCCGTGCACTTTATTGACTCTACTATATGATTCTGAGGTATCATGCGTCCGATATGATACATCGGATTTATAACCAGCAATGTGCTCCTATGGTAGGTAGTGAGCCCCATGAAACATTTAAACTGAGCTCCCGCTTTACAAATCCAATACAATGCTCCAGGGATACAAGAAGTGGGGGCGTACACTAGATATTTCTTCGACAGAAACAGTCAACCTGGATCTAACGAGACACTCACTATGGGCAAGTCGTGACAAAATTTCGCGAACAAGAAAGTATCTCAGATGATACAGATCAGAGTACAAAGCAGCATTTCATTTACTGCCTGAACTCAAAAACTTCCTCGAATCTTCCAAAGTTTTGTCATTGAATCATTCGTTTAGTATCTACTAAATTTTTAACCTCACTTGGGGTTAGAGTTTGGTTGAGGGTAAGTTTAGTTTGAGTTTGAAATGCCTACTTTGAGGGCGTTAAATGTTTGACTGCAACATGGTGAGCTACTCTATACCAAAGCAAGCTTTGAAATAATAATTAAAATATAATATGCTAACCACCTTCATTCAATAAGCTTCATGGCAATGAAGTTACCCCTTCAAGCGATAATAAGACTATCATTGTCTGACCTAAGAGAATTATCACAGTGAGTAACAGTTACAGCTGGCTCCAACTATTACCTCTGGAGGTATGATCGACCTTACCCAACAAATACGACTAGATAATAGATACATACACCAAATGCTAGGTGGAGTGACGGCCAACATCAGTTTTACAGTTACGGGTTACTAGATGTGAGCCTGAAATTGCAGTCAATACTCTTCCGAGCGGCCTCCACCATCAGTGCATCAACCCCTATACTAGGAGTACTTTATACACGTAGCCTTAGAAACTAGATCAAGCCCCATAATATTCCAGGAACAGATAGAAAGCAGCCGCAACCACAACTCCACTAACCCCTTATGCGAGTCTATGGAGTAAGGTACCAGATTCGCACGTCTGTAGCCATGACTCATATCATGAAAAGCTCCTTTTGGATGGAACCCGAAGAAAACTAGTGCTTTCCATTATCATCTATTGGCTAGCTAACTTACGATGAAGGATTTCCATCGATGACAGACCCAGCGAATAGTGGGTAACGGAAGATCATTCCAGAACCACGGGACCGGGGAAAGAAGTCGAAGCTATGGATCGATCGTCGGACTATTGAATTTTAATGCAAATCGGGCATCGTGACTGAAGATTGATCTGGACTCCTAATTGAGTCAGTGTTGCGGTCAAGTAGATCTGGATCCTTTAGCGATTGATTGAATGAGACAATAGGATGAACACAGTGCACATGAATAGGGGTTCCATGACAAAGCTAAGTTGATAATGTAGTAGACTATGAAAAAGCGGCAGGGATTGATATGACAGATGGTGATATTGAAGCATCCGAAAAGAAACAAATACATAGAAACGAGTGTGTAATTGACAAATGAGAATTACAGGAAAAGCAAAAAGCTAATTTATCTTTTATTTTCCCCCTTGGACAAACCAAGGATTCAGAGATGAATAAAACAAAAAAAAGATATGGAAAAAGATGATTCGCGCTACCGCGCCTCCGAATGCCCCCATGCGGGATCGAACCGCAGACCTCTTCATTATGCGGATTGCAATGTAAGTTGAAACTTACGAGTGAAGCGCTCTACCACTGAGCTATAAGGGCTTGTTGTTGAAGAGAAGACGTCTCTTACAAATTACATACATAGAGAGTTATTTGTGAGTTGTTACTACTCCGTATGAATGAACTTAATTTCATGCAACTATGTACATACATTTAACCTTTGTCACCCTTTTCCCCTTTCAAACTTGCTTTTTTGACAGATATTCCTAACAACAACTGAAAACAAGGCTTTTGTCATTGACAAAAGCTTTTGGTTCTTCTCTGCATGAATTTGTTATCCCGCGGTGGTTTAGATTTAAGATTCAATTACTATTTACCAAAGTACCAAGTGCTGGGCACCTGAGAATTTGTTATAATTGTTGCACTGGCGGTGACCATCGGATTGGTTTACTGTCTGCCTAATTGACAGTCATCGATCAAGATTGGTTGATTGTCGATGCCTCATATGCAGATGTAATCAAGGATTAACACCAACAGTCGAAGGGCAGTGTGACCGATTGCCGAATACATTGTCTTTCCTCCTTTCACAAAGATCCTTTTCTTATTATTTCACTTCCGTTCTTCTTCGGAGGCTAGATCTTACAGGGCAATTTAGGGAGTTGAAGCTAAAAGCTTAGAGCTCAGTTTCTTGGGTACCATATTGTTGCTGTGTGGCTTATCAAAGATGATACATCAACTCATCGCATCTTTCCCGATGACGATCTATTTTTGCAAACCAGTTCTGAAGCTAGGGGAATAGCCAAGGGAGGGGAGAGAGAAAAAAAAAAAAGACCTAACCACCAAAGAGGGACTGAGGAAAAAGAAATACTGGCAATAACTTGGATGCATCCTTCCTGCTTCCAATCGTTTTCATCCATTTTCCGACCCTTGGACTGGGGAGTAATCCACAGTCATAGGACAACAGATCGATGGCCGGCATCTCACTAACCTAATCAATGACCAGTCAGTTCATCCGCACAATGCCATTCGGTTGACAATGATGTCTGTTTGTTTTCTAATTCGCAGGAACAACGCAGGGCTGGTTCTCCACCCTTTCTTTTCTTTTCTCTCTGTGAAGCTGTTGAGCTTCGCCATCGTCCCCTCTTGTGGCTGCCCTGAGATCTAGCGGTGTAACACCGAACCGCCAAGATCTCCATACTCGAGGGCCTGAGAGCCCTCTTGGGATGTACTACCGTGCTCCTTGTTTGGGCGATATGAGACGGAGAGTGTATCATGAAAAATAAAAATTGTTGGGGTTCGTTCTATCATCCGCGATCTTATCCAGAATAGTAACAACAATCATATTTATATACAACAAAAGAGAACAACCAAGATATTCTGGGAAGAAAAAGAAAAGAATACGAAAACTTGATGAAAACACAACAGGTTAATTGGTATTTTATTTTGTCGAGTTCAATACTTTCCTTTTTTTTTTTTTTTTTTTTTCTTTTTTTTTTTTTTCCTTCTCAGTTTTCTTTTCTTTTCTTTTTTTCTTGGTTTCCCTCCACACATAAACCATAGTTTCTCAGCTATCCGCTGGGGTCAATGCATGACATCTATCAGGTCTGCACCCCCGGTCCATCACATCCATCAGATTGAAGGCAAATGGACACATCTCACCATCAGATCCTATCCACTACAGAGGCAACTCCAGTCTAATTTTCTGTACTGTTTGAGGCGTGCCTTTTCTATTCGTCAGCCGACGCATCGGCGGCTTTGTCAGTCCCCGGCCTCGTTGCACTATTGCTCCTGCTGTAATTCCTCCCCCGAGTCCCAACTCCTTCTTGTCGGTGGGACTGTGGATGTCGGAATAGATCGTTTCGGATCTATTCCAGGGCTCTTGCTTAATATTCCTTTTCTTTTTTTCCCTTCACCCTTGCTGGTTTAAAGGCGAGTGCCATCTGCTTTTATTCTAGACCGTCTTGTACATTCCGACATTCACGATCATCGAGCGACCGTGAGCTAAGAGTTAGGTCCCAGGTAAGCCCTAACTATCTGAATTGCCTACAAATGGCCCTTTTCCTGGTGTTAAGCCAGCCAAACTTCGCCCGTCGCAGCGTCCCTAAGAATTCCAGATTGGGTTTCCAACAAGATTTGACCAAAGTCTCTCTGGGCAACGTACCTGACTATCTGCGTTAGATCGACAAATCGAACCCCGAGCGTCAGGGTTGCAGTACTCGTGAACACTGCGCAGCATAATCCCGCACACACTGGCGCAGAGCTCGATACGTAGCATATCTATAGCTGCAGAATGCCCCCACAGAAAGGAAAACCAAGACCGCGCGGGTCAGAAGACGAGTTTGTTCTATTTCTTCAGGGGGTAAATCAAGCGTTTCATCAAGATTTTCAGATGGTTGGCTTACGGATGAGATAGATCCCAGCCCATTGTCGCTGGCAAGAGTTGAAGGACTTAGTTCGTCAGACAGCTTTACATATTCGACAGGCCGTGGTATATGACGACCACCATGGTTTCCCGACAGGCCTAGGCCAGATTATCGTGAAGAACGAGGATGAAGCATGGCGGACTTACCGTGCGTACACCATTCGATCAACGGGGGCACCGTGGAGATAACTAACGAGCCTTCAGACAGATTATCTACCAACGGCTGGGAAGGACAGAGCTTGGTCGTGACGTTGGCCCGAACAAGTTCGCCTACTCGACCCATCGCAGGCCCGACAAAGAGCCCACAGTGTGTTATTCCTCCGAACTACGTTGCTGGGTATTCGACGCCCCCCAGAGTCCCCCAGAACATGGCGGTGCCTCCGTCACCCATATCTCCCGAGTAAGCTTCCCTCTGTATGCATCTCGCAGAGGCATCGCTTGCCTTCAAAAGAAACATATACTGATGACAATAAGACCTGTAATGGCGGGGACGAATCCCACGTATCCACCACCGGAATATGGGCACCCCTCGATGATGAATTTGCCTCCGCATCACTTCATACCCATCTTCCCAGACCCCCTAACACAGCCAATGCCAGGCATTCCACCTTCGCCCGCACTCCGACCATCCTTCGGCGACCCTCTCGCCTTCACCGTCTTTCCACCTTACCCTATCTCGCCCGTTCCGCCCTTCCAAGACCCTTCTCTCCATTCACACGGTCGAAGGGCTCCCCACAAGCCTGCTACGTACACCTACACCTACAGTTATACTCCGACGCCCATGCCCTTTTACCCACCGCACGCCCTCCACCAGCCCCAAAGACCACACCCCCGCCGCACCATTTTTATCCAGAACCTCAGTCCGACAACCACCAAGTCCGAGTTACAATCCCACCTCCAGGAAACAGGTACCATTGACGCCTGTGAAGTGCCCCTCGACCCATCCTCCAGCCGCTGCAAGGGCTTCGCCCGCATCACCTTCCGAACATCCGAGGAAGCCAAGCGTGCCGTCGCTCGATTCAACAATTCGGTCTTCAAAGACGCCAAAATCCGCGTCAAAATCGACCGAAGTATCCCGCTGGCCGCATCCTATGCTCTCGAGCCCCCAGGTGTCCCCATGGCAATAGTCACTGCCCCGATGCCCCCGGCCTGTGCACCTCAGGGTCCTGGCCCGGACGACGATACTAAGCCAGCGGACCGATGCCAACCATTAGTTGTCAACGGATCCGGCATTAAAAAAACGGAAGTCGCCGCGTAGCATTCTTTCATTTCTCTATTTGATTCTCAGTCATTTCTCATATATTCTCCTTTTTACTCTCCTTGTTTTTTTACCTCTACTATTCTCTCTTATTATTGGATTGCGGTCTGGCATGTAAGGTATTGATATCTTGATATAAGGTCTGGTGTGACAGGAAATTGGTAGAGTGGTGCCGGGTAAATCTTCGCAGCTTTTTTATGTTTATAATTGTGATCGGTCTAGTTTTTTGGGATAGTGGACAGGAAGGGAATGGTGAGGATGGGATTTCAATATTCTTTGTTTGCTTTTGGAATTGTGGTGTTTGGTGATAGAGATAGATAGATTGATTTTTCTCTCTACCTTTTGAAACAATAGTTTACGTTAGTAACTATGTCTATACATATATTGAAGGGTATACAAGTATATACAATCTTCAACATTAGATCATAGTTCAAAATCCATGCAGTTAGTGGGTGTAAAGTGAAATAAACTGTAATAAGAAGTAAATAAGTAAATCAACTACATCGAACCTCTATAACTGGAAATAGTTTGTATTAGTCAATAATTTCCACTTCTGTTAAACATTAATATCTTATATTTTGGATTCAATACAGTAGATTAGTAGTTAGTATTAAATATCTATAATCGACGATTAACAACTGTGCACTACTGTACCTACACTAAACTGCTACATCCCTCGGGTCGATGTATATGCGCTGTATACACCAATACTAGACAGGCATATAACTCATCCTATAATGATCTATACACCTTCAGAAATAGATAGAAGAAAGGGAAAATGCAAAAGCAATAGAATCATCATTCATATCTCATCTAATAGCTAAGAATTCATTCTTTTTCATCATACTGTCATAATACAATGCCAGTTCTCATCAGGCATGAAAAAAAAAAAAAAAAAAAAAAAAAAAAAAAAAAAAAAAAAAAAAAAAAAAAAAAAAAAAAAAAAAAAAAAAACGGCAAGATTAGGGTTTTCGGGAATAAAAAAAAAAGACTGTCGAGGAGGAAATGCAGGATAAAAAAAAACGCCATCACGACCTGTGAGATGATAGGTTGTTTGGAATCACAAGATTAATATAGTGAGGTTTTTTTTTGCTGGGGTTGAATGCAAAAATGTGAGTGAGAAAATGGGTAATAGAGATGCGAAAAAGAAATGGGAAGAAAACCAGATAGGGAATTCATAAATAATACAACGGTATCTGTGAGGAATGAGTTATTTGACCCTTTTTGTTCTGTCTGAAAAGGGTTTATTATTTGGCGTGGTCGATCAGTTCGGCGTAGAGGGGTTCGGGGATCTTCCGGACGATCAGGACGGTTAGGGCGATGATTTCTTTGGCGTCGAGGGGAGGAAAGGATCGGAGGATCTTGTTTGGACTGTGGGATGATTGGTCAGATTGGTTGTTTTTTGCTTCTGGATTCCCTGTT